TAACAGTAGTGTGCAACAAGCCTAATATAAGTCCATCCACACCAATAACAGTAACAATGAAGATAGTTATTAGAAATTAGTTCTATATGGAACAGAATGGAGTGCACACTTCAGCCATAAAGATAACAGCACAAATATTGATTCAATCACTTCAGATACCAGCGGTTTAAAGTGGTAGACGTCAGGCATGTGGTTTGTGTTTAGAATAAACATTATGTAATTATCAGCTGGTGTGGAGACTCCAAGTTAATGCAAAATCTTGTTTTTAAATCCTTTAAATTGTACCTGAAAGGTCTATATTAATACCCCAAGGGTGCACATTAGTACCTAAAAAGTGCAAAAGTGTTCCTCTTAAAATTTGTAGGTACTAAGATATACTTTTGAGGTACCAATATGGACACTTAAAGTACAAATGTGTACCTTGTGAAAAGGTACCACCCCGGTGACAGCTCGCTTGCCTTTATTTCTGAGAGTGTAAAAGACTAGAGCCCAGACCAGAGTGAACACAGAACTAGACACCAGGAGAACCCCAGAGGATTCCAGGGAGCAGGCGGAGACCCAGACAAAATGGGTTAATCGCACAGCTCAGACATTCCCATTTCTGATACCTTCCTTTCTTTCTTTCTTTCTTTCTTTCCCGTCGAAAGTCTTGTTTACTTTAGTGCGCCGCAAAACCGGGAGTCAACACAACTAGCCCTTTTGCTTGAAACAGCCGACTCCACCCCACTCCAAGCCTCGCAAGGACAAAGAACTGACCACCAGCTAACCACATGCTCAACAGTGGGAGTTCTTCACGTCAAAAAACAATGCAAGTAACACTTCCAGACTACCTCTGAACTGGTGTAATATAAATGTAATTTTAAAGGGACCATATAAGGGTCAAATTGATTATTTTTGGTTCGCTTAGTTTGGTCTTACAAAATCAGAGGTTGTTCCAACATTACGCTCTCTCAAACTCTTATTTTACTTTATTTAATCTTCTCTACACTTGTATGAATGTCTGTTTGTGTTAGGGGTTAGTTTTTTGTCAGGTTAGTCAATAAATTTTAATTTTGTACCCTGCTTAAACATCATTTTTTGATAGCGATAGCCATAATTGAAGTCAACTGTCCATTCGAACGATCGCTAGACGATTCGTTTGCTTGGATTTGAAGAGTTGATTGTTTTGAAACCCCGTTCAAATTAATCTTCAATTCCCTTTTGAGCTAATTCACTACAATCTTATACTCTTAGAAATAAAGGTACATGGGCTGTGACTGGGGTGATACCTTTTTTCGAAAGGTACACATTTGTACTTCAAGGGTCCATATTGGTACCTCAAAAGTAATGCCTACAAATTTGAAGAGGAACCCTTTAGTACTTTTTATGTACTAACATGTAATTTTGAGGTATTAATATGGACCTTTTAAGTACAAATTTGTACCTTTTGAAAAGCTACCACCCCAGTGACAGCTTGCGTTATTTCTGAGAGTGCAGGAGGTTACAGATTTTCAGCTTTGTTCAAAATATGTTTTGTTCAACAGGAGAAAGAAAGTAAAACAGGTTTGGAACAATACTGGATTTGTGGGTGTACTATCCCTTTGACACCCTTAAATCTACATAACAAACCAGTCAAACACCTGCCTCAGTAAAGTCTAATACAGGAGGTCCAAAAAACGCTGTAATCCAAACACTCACATCACATTTGTTAGAAATGCATGTGGCCTTGTTGCACTATAGTATTAAATGCTAATCCATCTGATGTGTTCCACATAACAGCACAAGCCCACCTACTCACCTGTCAGTCAGCCAAGTACTCAAACAGATGTAAAACAAACCCACCATAATGTTGACATCTGTGAATAATAAGCCTACATACAGAAATAATGTTGTCAACCTCGCAGCGCAGTGCCATAGCAACAATGAAGAACAGAATGTCAGCTAAACAACATGAGGCAATTTTTTTTTTTTTTACCTCAACACAAAGAGGAAGATTTACATGACCGCAGATATCACTGTGTTGCGATGCAACCTGTTAAGCAGCTTAGACTGCGCATGTTAGATGTCTCACTTTTATTCAAAAACAAAAGTATCAAAGAGGAGTCCAATCACGGCGTTACCAAATGGAATCCAATGAAAAGTCACTCGATTGGTTTTCCATTATCAAAGCTCTGCATTTGGCCAGTGCATTTGGCTCTCTAATGCCTCTTAGATAAAAAGCTCACTTGTACTCGATGCCCATTACCAGTCTACAAATAATATGATTTATATGTTTTTTGGAAACTGGTTTATGTAATCTAAATACGTGATTAATATTCAATGTCCACACATGGAGGAAAATGCATTTGCAGACAATCTGTGTAGTCATTATATCAACCAATAGGGCACACTGTAACTAGACTATATACAAGACTGGAATATTAGTTTTAAATAAGTAATTTGTATTTGTTCCAGTCACAGCCAAATGCACATTTTACATAACAGGCCCTTTTTACATGGTGAAAAACAAGTCTCTGATGTCCCTAGAGTGTGTATGTGAAGTTTCAGCTCAAAATGCTGCACAAAGATGTTTCTATAATGGTTTGAAACTCCCCACTTTTAGGCTTTGAGCTAAGTTGTAACATTTTGGTGTATGTCACTTTAAATTCAAATAAGATTGTGCTCCCAGGCCTCTTTTCAAAAGAAGGTGGAGCTATACAGGCCTATGTGTCACCATAACAGCAGGTTTAAAGCTGTAATGGCAGATGGCTGCTTCTCACTCAGGGCTGTCTATGCTAATGAGAGAGATTGTCACTAATAGGCGGAGTTTTCCCCCTCTGATGACATGTACAAAGAAAGAGTGTCAATCAAAGCATTTAGGGCGGGGGTGACAAACTCTGTACTGGAGGGCTGGTATCCTGCATATTTTAGCTCCAACTTGCCTCAACAGACCAGCAGGGATGTTTCTAGAAAGCCTAGTGAGAGCTTGATTAGCTAGCCCAGGTGAGTCTGATTGGGGTTGGAACTAAACTTTGCCGGACACCGGCCCTCCAGGACCGAGTTTAAACACCCCTGATTAAGGTAGACACGGTGGCTCAGTGGTCAGCAGTGTTGTCTCAGAGCAAGAAGGTCACTGGGTGAAGTCCCAGCTGGACTTCCTCTGGGTGCTTTTGTTTCCCCAACAGTCCAAAGACATGCTCTATAGGTGAATTGAATAAACTAAATTGGCCGTAGTGTTTGTGTGTACATGTGAGAGTGTGTGGGTGTTTCTCAGTGCGGGGTTGCAGCTGGAAGGGCATCCGCTGTGTAAAAAATATGCTGGATAAGTTGGCGGTAATTACCCTAACCTTAACCTAAATAACCTAGTTAGGTCTTTAACTGTCACTTTAAGCTGTAAAGAAGTGTTTTGAAAAAAATCTAGTTAAATATTATTTATTCATCATGGCAAAGATAAAATGTATCAGCGATTAGAAATGAGTTATTTAAACTATTTAGAAATTGTTTAGAACTGTTTAGAAATGTGTCGAAAAAAATATTCTATCCATTAAACAGAAGTTGGGGAAAAAGATAAACAGCGGGGCTAGTAATTCCAAGGGGGTTAATAATTCTGACCTCTGTATACTTGGCTGAAAAAGAATTAGCTGACACCTTATGCTTTCACTTCCACACTATAAGTAGTTGGAAACTGAGCCCTGTAGTATGTTTGATGTGTTCATAAAACATAGGGGAAAGGTACCTGCTGTGATTTCAGGATGCGCATTTTGTGGACACTTTAATATCCCATAAGGCCTCAGAAGAGGGTTTTTAGGCTTCCTACTGCTTGGTCACCTGAATGTACAGTATCAAAAAGCAGATGTACAACATGGGCAAATAATGTTTCAACCGTTGCATCAAAGGTGAAGCTTGTAAAAAAATTCTGATGATTTTGCATTTACCACAGGAAAAATCATATTTCCGCTAGTAAGTTTGCTAAAGAAAAAAAAAAAAAAAAAAGCATTACAGTATATGTACTAGGCTGCATCAGCTAGTCACAAGTCCTTATACTTTAAACTAAAAAAAATGTTTAAATAGCCCATAAACAAAACAGAAAGGAACAGGGAGGAAAAAACAAATCTGACATTAATAAGTTCTCATTTTAACTGATATATACAAATAGCACAAAACACACCTTGAAAGAAAATGAAACTTATTCCACATACCAAAAAAAAAGAGAGATTTGGAAGGACATTAAGGCTGTAACAAGAGGGAGATGTTTCCTCATTATCACCACAAGTTCCTCAATGTAAACTCACGGTCATCAATGTTCCATTGTTATTCTTAGGTATATGTTGTTGTAAATATTTAGTTGGAGAGTATCATTACAATTAAAAATAAGGTCAGGGGTGGCAACACAAAAATATTTAGTCATGTTGTCATATAGTGTCCGTTTTAGGTCACTAGTAGGCTACCTGTCACTTAACATTGTCACTTGTGCTGAATATGGATATTTTGAAGGGGAAAATATGAGGACATTTTGGTCAAACTTATTTTCTTAAGGTTTTAAGGTACAATGTTTAAGGTAAAATATTTTAAGGTACAATTGTCAAACTATTAACAAACTGTTAACTATGACTTTTGCTTCAATAAAGTCCTAATTTATTGATAGTTATTAAGATTAAGATAGTAGCTGGGTTTAGGTATTGGGTAGTATTAGGAATGCTCAGTAAGATCTTGCTGAATAAGTACTTACAAATAAAGAAATAATATGAAAAGAAAGAAAGAAAGAAAGAAAGAAAGAAAGAAAGAAAGAAAGAAAGAAAGAAAGAAAGAAAGAAAGAAAGAAAGAAAGAAAGAAAGAAAGAACTCACAATACCCAGTGCCAAGCAGGCACTAGAGAGAACAATGTACTTCACATCAGTCACTTGTCTGGACTTCACGTCCCAGAATCCCTTGTACTGATCACCTGACTCATTAACTGGACTTTGATTACATTACACCTGCAGCCCATTATCACACACAATATAAGCACCATTTTCTCCCATGCTGTTTGTGAAGTCTTGTTACTGTTTATGTGCAATTCTGAGCAGGTTTCCCTTGTTTTGATTTTGGACTGTTTCCTGTGAAAGAAAGTTAGCTGCTTGCCTTAACACTTCACTTGTTTTCTGGATTACCCTCGACGTTGTTTGTTGCAGTTTTGACCTTCTGACCATTCTTCAATAAAAGCTGCATTTGGAAGCTCCACCACCATTGTACGCTGCAGTATGTTACTATATTGTTATTTAATGGAGTAATTTTGCAATGTAAATGTGTTCCTGTGGTCTTTTAAGCTTAAACAATTACTTTAAATCTTATTGAAGTTCGTGTTTTCTTCATTATAGATTTTGTTGATCTAAATTGTATTTAATTGACAACAGTGATTTTTGTATTTGGCTTAAAAAGAAAAACTTAAAATTTTTAAAAAAAGTACAAAATTATGTTAAACCTCACTCATGGGATCCAAATCAATATTAAGATTTTTCAAGCAAAATGAATGTCATAATGAAAATCTATTTTTTCAATTCATGAAAATGTTATGTTTAAAAGTGTCATTTTAAATTTAGATTGAGGTTTAGCTAGTTAGTGCTAAACCTAGACGATTCTGTTTTTACCTTACCATCCTCTCTCATTTGTCCTCATGTTGATCAAAACTGGATGTTTTTATGTTATTAATTTTTTATTCAGATGAGGTGAGGTTTTATAGTTAGGATCATTGTTCAGTGCATAAGAAGAGTGTGCTGTGATTAATGCTGTTAATCATCCCATTATCCCTGAAAAGGACATTTTTCAAATGCTTATCCAATTTCCCCCAAAGCTTGATGGTATCTCCATTTCCCAAATTTTATTTTATTACAATATAATCAACTTAGGCTAAACAGACCTTTCTATCTGAAGTTTCAATCAGTATAGTGAAGGCTACTCTGGTAGCAAAGAATTCTGGCCAAAATTTGGCATGAAGCTGGCTCAGCAGGTGTTTGTCCAGCGCTGGCTTACACAGCATGTGGGCCAAACATGGCCCTGGTTTGGGTCATTATGGTGGCACACCAGATTTGGGCTAGACATCAAATGTAGTACTTGGACCAGATGTTTAAAATGTATATGTTGGCCACGTAAGTTTGGCGTAACTTGACCCATTTTAAAATAAATTCAAACAATAATTTTTGAGTAAAGAAATAAATTCTGAAAAATCTTTTCAGGTCGTTTCGACAAAAAGCACACCAATATCTGGGCCAGTTGTTGGTGGTGACCTTGGCTGAGACGTAGCCCAAATGTGGTCCATGTTAGCCCCTTGTAAGGAAGCCAGACTTGGTCAAATCATGTACTGTAATTCACTAGGGCATGTGAGCCAAGCAAAAGCTGATTGTGTGGGTCAGATCTGGGCCAGACAAATTTTGCTATGTGGGTGTAGTTTCACCATTTAAAAAACAGAATAATCAGAATATCTCAGTATTTACTTCACAAAACACACTGAATACATTATTCAGCGTCGTGTACTTGGTTATGCTGAACATTCATACTGTTTGTCAGAAAGCCCACCTTGAAGGCAATGCTTTGCAGTTAACAGCCACATAGATGTTAACTCTTTTGTTATTCTGTCAAAAAGTTTCATTCTGTCAGTTCAAAGAATTCAATTGTAGCTGAAGATGTTTTTGTTTGTAAAAAAAAAAAAAAAGAACAAAGAGTGGCTTTTTATAGCTGTAAGAAAAACTGGCATGCAAATGATGATATAACTCTCAGCATTTCTCCGTTTCCCCCCATAAATAGCTGGAGGCTCTTCTAATGATTCCTCGCTTTGGACAGTGCTCTGATGCTTGGATCTGCAGAGTGGCTGGCTGCATCTTGCTTGGCTTCAGTCCGACCATCCGTTCGCTCGCAATGAATCATCCAGGCTTGTCACACCACAACTGAATCACTGGAGCCAATCACCTGTGATGGATAAACAGGTAATAAAAGACAAGTTATAGCTGATCTGAACAGTCTCATTGCCGCCAAATCCTGCGTAAAGATGCAATGCAGTGTAAATGGTGCAGTAAAATATGTCAGTGACCATCTAGCCTTGCCTCCGTGTAAATCAGAAGCAGCATCAGCGCAATCTTTTGGTTTGAGCATATATTTATGCAGTTTTAAAAAAAGCCAATGTACTGAAATCATCTGATTCCTCTTCTTCTAATTCACCCTAGAGCTCTACTGCAGCAATCACCAAATCCTGGTCTAGATGTCATACCAGAGGAATGTTGATGTATATTTTTTAACTGATCAAACTTAAAGTCCAGGTGAACTGGAAGTCGTTCAGAGTTTTATTTTAGTAAGTTGATGTACTTAACTGAAACAGAATATTTAGCATAGTGCAAGATTTGCTTTTTCATCATAACACACTTGGTTAAGAATATGGCCTAAGACATGGTTAAGAATATGGCTATGGTTGAGATTTATGGGTGATTATGGTTAGGAACATTGTGTCTGAAGCTCTCAAACTATAAACGTAGAAGCAAATGGTCAGATTTGATTGAAGATTTAATTTGCTAGAAACATTTTTTTGAAGAAACAATTGATTGATGAAACTATTTTTATTTTAAGTGGATTACTATGACAAGTTGATTATTCACCTACAGAAGAACAATGCATGCTAGTTTAATAAATAATACACATTTTAAATTTCACATGGACTAAAATTGATTATTGAATTTCAGGGACAATAAAATCCATATACTGTACATTAACAATGTTCAAATTAATTAAATTAATTTCACAAATTTTAACCTAAGAATCTCAGAAGCTGTTTAGATTGTTTAGAATGCTACCAAATGTTAGCAACATGCTAAACATGCCAGGACCATATTAGCAAAGTGTTAATTCATCAAAAAAAATGTATTATGTTTTTTAAATCATGTCAGCATCTTGTAAAGTAAGCAAAGCAGTGTGTTTTAGGTTTAAAACATGCTAATAACATGATTTTTTTGGGTGGCAATACATAAACGTATATACATAAACGTATAATACATTAAAATATTAGCCATGTGGATGCTAGTCACATTGCTTCATGCTATAATGGTGTTTACATGCAATGTAGGCTACATTCATAAATGTAATGTTAAACATGCTAAAATCAAGCTAGCAATATGTTGGTGTTTAAATGCTATAATACAAAAATGCTACACAAACTCAGTTGTGAACAATGTGTTCAACATGTTAGCATGTCACTAATGTCTTAACATTTAACGTTACCCATCTGTCAAACTTGCTAGAAAAAGGACAGCAACAAGCTGATTCTTGTTGTGAAACATTTTAGCTTTCTAGTACATTTCATTTCATACAAGTGTTTATGTAACATGTTGTACATGTTTCAAACATGCTAGCAATGTGTTATAATGTTATTACAGTGTTAAAATGCTTTAGTGCTAAAATTCTACCCAAATGCTAGTGTTAGCAATCTGTTCAACATATAAATTACATGCATATTCACATTAGCCATCTGTCAAACATGTTAGAAATAGGCCAGCAACATGCTGACTTATGCTAGTGTTGTGCTAAACATGTTAATGATATGCTAATACAGGGGTGGCCAACCCTGTTTCTGGAGAGCCACCTTCCTGCAGATTTCAGTTACTACCCTTATCAAACACACCTGAACCAAATAATTAGGACCTGAACACCATGTGATAATTACAGGCAGGTGTGTTTAATATGGGTTGCATCTGAAATCTGCAGGAAGGTGGCTCTCCAGGAACAGGGTTGGCCACCCCTGGGCTAATAGATGTATGAAACCCTTCTAATTTCTAACTTCTGAAACTTATATCTTGTTAATACATCTTTAAAGGTACTGGATCTCATGGTTTCTGTTCATCATTTTAAGTATATATATTTTCAAATGATCATATTTAAACTATGCGCACACACACCTACTACCTAGTTTTAGATTATGGGTGGCACTTTCAGTTTAGGGAACTTCCTCTGAAAAGGACTGAAACAAATTATTTGAAATAATAAGGTTGCGCTACCAATAATCCTTATCCTGTTTGACTGAATGAGTTGTAAAAGTCCCTTCATGCTCTATTTGTATCCATCAGGAAAATAATGTAATGCTTGGTGTTTTAATGTGACACCGCTATCACAACAGCTCTTTCTGTTCCTCCTGATAATTTTCTTATTTCCGCTTTATAGCTTGTGGTATGAAAATAACAACAGACACTGCACAGTTGCGGTCTGCTCTTCCATTTATTAAACAGCACATCCTATGAATAATTTACTGGAATGCAACAAGAATCCCTGATTTTTCGCCACAAACTTTTGCACCTCTTACATGATCGATATAAAATAATTGATACCGTTTTTTAACCTTTTCATTTTGTCGTGGACTGCTGTTTCTATAGAATGAAAAATATATTTGTTTTCGAAAATGGGAAAGCACTGTTAAAGCAGCTTGTTTGACTGACATAAAGAGAAAAGGGAAAGAGTAATCCTAGTTATTCACGGTCTGGTGAAGGTAATTTCCTAAATCTTGTTAAATAAAGAAAGAAAAATAATTAAATATTGCACATTGTTGCAGCACTTCTATTTCCAGAATGTCTGACATGCTGAGACCAATCCAGGCTCATTTTGAAATCGCACCCCTATATACATTTTTGGAGAGTGCCAAATACATTCCAGGGGCCTCATGTATCAATGCTGCTTACGCACAAAAACTTTGCATACGGCAGTTTTCAGGCTCAGAATCGCTCACGTTTGGATTTACTAGATTAGATTCAACTTTATTGTCATTACACATGTACAAGTACAATGCAACGAAATGCAGTTTAGGTCTAACCAGCAGTGCAATAGCAGCAAGTGCAGGATACAGGAATAAGTTATAAAGTGCAGTTATAGAAAACTATGGTGATATTTACAGATGGATGTACTATGAACATAATATACAGGTTGGATAAGCTATGAACAGATTTACAATATATGAATATATGTGCAGGTTGCTATCAATAATCAGTAGTGTGCAGATAGATAAACATGATTACAAGTGTATATGTTACAATATATGAATATGAATATACGTACAGGGATAGATAAACATGATTACAAGTGTATATGTAACATTATATGAATGTATGTACAGGTTGCTATTAATAATCAGTAGTATGCAGATAAATAAGCATGATTACAAGTGTATATGTATAGTGGGTGTGTACATAATTACAAATGCCCATATGCAGTGGGTATGCACAGTTCAATAAGTAAACAGTTCAATGTGGTGCAGTGAATGTGCAAATTTTAAATCTGCAAATGTTAAACAGTGCAGTTATTGCGAGGAGTTTAAGTTAGAGGAGAGTGGGGGGTGTATTGGATACAGTGAGGTCGCATCCTCATCTGTACGTAAAAATGTCCAAGGAGCACAATTTGGGGCTTTGCGCATAATTAAATGCCTTCCGGTTTTTAAGACACGACACTACCTGACAAAAGTCTTGTCGTCGATCCCAGTTGTAAG